TTTATGCAGGGAGGAAGTTTTTGGGTGGCGTGGATCACAACCTATAGACTCAGATACCGTCTTTTTGGGAGCTTAAACAGACCAGTTCAGGGTCTTGGATTTGGAGCAAACTTTTTAAATTAAGAACTTGGTTCCAATTTAGGCCGTCAACGAATTCTCAGGGGGTTGTATGCTGGGAAATTTGATGCTTAAGTTCTCCATTAAAATGGTTTGGAAGTCTATCAGAGTCAAGCAACCGACCGAATCTTATGGGGCAAGTTCACAATTCCTAAGTACAAATTTCTTGCTTGGTTAATCATCCTCGACCAAATCAAAACTATAGACAAGCTCAAGCAGTGGAAAGTGATTGATGATGATAATTGTGTGCTTTTGTGATTTACATGTTGAGGCGAGAGATCATTTATTCTGTGAACGCATATTTACAACAGATTTCTCTACTCTCTTTTTGGCACTGGATTCAGATTGCCTGCAGATTGGCAGCATATGATGGAAGTGATTACAGACTGGAGCAGAAAGAATGGAGGGTTGATCTTCAGCTCTTTATGGTGTTGGAGAGTTGGACTGCTTTGGAAGGATCTCTGGCGAAATAGCGAGAAGTGCGAACACTCTAGCCTCTCTTTTCAAGGAGGAAGTTCGATTGTATATGTTAGGAAACCCATAAATTTATGAACAGGTTCATCAATAGAGTGGTTTAGAGTAGTGATAGTATGATCTATCACATTTTTGTATGGCTTAGGCCAAGGTACTTTTTTTCGAATTCTTGTGTTGATTTGGCAAGAATGTGCTTAATAGATTCCACTAATTACCGAAAAAAGAAATAAAATCCAAGTTTCAACAAATTGGATTGAATGTGGTATTTTATTCTATTTTTGTCCTCATTTTTCCTTTATTTATGTCTATACGATCTGACCGGGCCATTACAGCTCGATCTAGTTGTCGTAGTGGGTATTAGCATTTCATTTTCTATGTCCTCTTCAACCAACATACCTTGGATATACTACGATTACTTAGAATCAGCTTGCGAAATTTGTGGCACCGCAGTAGAATCATTAGCAATGGCACGTTGTGCTCCGCGGATATATGGTACAATTCAAACTAATCTCATCTAGGCGATACAAATATACAATAGTACTTTGATCAAGTGATTATGATTGGCGAACTTTGAATCCGAAAATTATGGTTTCAAGGCTTTTAACAGGCGTTCTCTCTCAGCTATTGATGCACCAAAGTCCATGTATCAACGCTGGTCCTTCCTCTAGTTGTTATGCATTGTGATTTGTGAGTCAGGTCAGGTGTGATAGTGATACCCACTTAACTGGATAAAGAAAAAGATGCAGTTAGTGGTTGCAAGATAATGAAGTTCGCAGCGTTATGCACTTATGCTTTGATGGACATGCGCGTTTAGACAGATCTCGGCATTAATGGAACTTAGCCAGAATGCAGGGTGGTGGTGATCTCATTCTCATGTCTGAACTGCAATAAAATGCCCATTTCTTTATATAACAAATCACGTAGGTAGCTAGCTGTCGACGCCTTTTCTTTACTCTTCCCTGTGCTGTTAACAGCCCATTGAAAAGGTTTGTCGGTGTCGTGAGTTTTGCGTTCTCACAAGGTTTGCATCAGCTGGGACTGGCAGAGGAAAAGTCCAAATAAGTGACTTCTTGCTCTCTCCTTTTCCTTTTCCCCTGAACTCGTGCTCTTTGAATAATTCAGAGTCTCTCATTTTTTTTTTTTTTTTTTATTTATGAATCGGGTTAATTTCATTTCATCAAAAAGAAAAGTACTAGCAACATCCTTGCTAGTTAGGATCAATCAAGTTCAATCTATACAAATGATTCCAAAACTTGACAACTACCTCCTCTCGAACTATCCTGCATAAAACTGAACTATCTCTGCACACTCCTGTATAGACTCTACTACACCTTTCTCGCCAAATTAAGCTTACCATACTTTGCCAAATAGCATTGCCAGCTTGAGAACTTACAGACTTTGAGCCAAATCTTTGCTTCATCCAACAAATCTCACTACTCAAAAATAGTCTCTCATTTTTCTACTTGGCATGCAAGAGAGATAATTTCGGTTCGACCAAAAAAAAAAAAAGAGAGATAATTTCGGTGTCCAAGTTTTATTTTGAAAACCCTAAACAATCATGTTGCTGTAAGTGCATGACCCTTTTGATCGAGGGGGGAAGCTAAGTATCGTTTTAAAAGTAAAACTAGCCAATAAGATCTTGGATGATTTGAATTTTGACAATGTGGGTGAAAGAGAAATAGTAAAAGCAAAGGACAAACTCTCTTGTTCACGTACAAAAATTTATATTTTCATGCAATGTTATCAAATTTTCTCACACATAATCAATTTTTTCATGCACTCTCTGCTCGTACAGTTGTACAGTATATTATATAAGTGAAGATTAACGAGAGTGCGTGAAAAAGTAAGTCAATGTGTAAGTATAAGTGAACCTACGTTAATAATTAATAGGATTGTGTGAAAATATATATAATTTATGTATGTGAATGGCCTGGTGAGATTTCTCATTGTGGCACATCTAGATTTGTTTAAAACATGGTTATAAGTAGGGGTGTGCAGCTGTTCGGATCAGGCAAAACTGATGAAAACAACAGTCCAATAGTGAAAGACAAGTTATCATTAATGACCACACCAGTGCATTCGATCCGATTTGGTCTGGTCCAAATGTCAATTCGATTCATTTTTCCTTCAGTATCTATAAAATTGATGGGATCAAGGACCATATCACATTATATTGGGTTCAGTGTGGTTCGCTCCAAGCGTCGGTTTGGTTTGATGTTGTTCAATAGAACCAAACCGTTGCACACCCCTAATTATACTAAGATTGGAGGGAAAATTGACGGGGAGTATATACTGATTCTCTAATGCAATTTTTGCTTTATTTTTTTGTTATGAAACAATGAGAAATGTGGAAATGCCAACATAACATTGAAGGTGTAATTGACTTGAATGCAGTCAGTGGCGTAGCCAGGATTTTATGTAAGGTGGGTCCGAATTTTTTTTATATTGCAAGAAAAATTTGAGCCATTGCAGTGCCCCATAATGTGTTCTCATATATTGACGAACTTGCATTCATATGATATCAATGTCAATATATCCTATACAATAATCATTCATGATTTTGTCACCCATTAGATACCAAAGAGTGTTTTCACGTGGCTCATTGAAAATGTCATTTCAATACTTGCAGTGGAGCCTTAGTTAGCAACAACAATAAGTTACTTCTTTCAATTACCATGATTCGAAAAATAACTCCTAATTCTATATAGTTTTAGACAATAGCTAGCCTATATTCACGTCAAAGTATACATATAATAATCTAGTTGAAGTTTAAAACCTGATATATTGAATTTATTATTAGGATAAAAATAATATAGCGAGTTTCAACAAAAGAAAGTTTTGGCGATATATAATGAATAAACCTGAAATGGTTGAACCACGATTAAACCACGTTTTCAACATAAAATATCCTACCATTGACTTGTCCGATATAACTTTTGGTACGATTTTTAATCCTTATTATTTAGGCGTACATATTTTCTCCCGAGGCAAGGTGGATCCCGGGACCCACCTTAATATGCACTGGCTCCGCCACTGAATGCAGTTAATGAGATTATCAATATTCTTTTTTTTATGTGTACAATCATCTGGATCCAAATAGATCCATTTAAGTCCGATTCAAATGAGTTGACCCAAATTAGAGTCAATTCAAAATCAACTCAAACCCAAAATTATTAAAGTGCATTTGAGTTTATTTGGGTATGATTCAATACCCATATAAGTCATGAAAATTGGATAAAATTACCCAAGGAGTTCACTCATTGTTATTCCTAGCCTAGGTGAGTTTGACCACTTGATGAATAAGCATAAATGTAAATTAAGGAGAAAGATAATGTTTAGGAAGGTGTGAGATTAGCACAAGAAGCAGATGATGATGTCAGGGATGCTTGTTGAATTAGGTTTTATGGTAGCCATCAAACTTAGGGTTTAACTATCTATTGAAGGTGTTTGTAAGTTGTAATCATAGCATACGAATTCACAAGAAAACAAGATGCAAAATCACAATATTGGAAGTTGGAACTTGTAACTTTTGTGGAGCTAAAGTGTGAGATCATTTATTTTTTTTAGAAAATTATGTACTTAGAATTTTTTATATTTTGCCAAAAAGATAGTTTTTTGGTTGTTATGTACTGAGAAAACGTCAATATTATAATTTTTATTAAAAATTTATTTATCATATTTAGAAAAAAAATATTATCACGCATCCAAGTTAAAATAAAATTTATTTATCATTGTACATAACCTTGGATAGTAAAAATAATTCTGATAATAGATCAGCTAGGCAATTAATTATTTTCTTTTGAAAACTGAGAAATTTTTGGTAGAAGCTAGTTTTGTAAAGGATAACGCATAGCCAAAGCAGCCTACGTTATTCTTTTTCCCCACATTTTCCATCTCTTCATCTATCTTCTTCTTTTTTCCTTTTTGTTAATTAGTTCTGAAAATTCCTTTGGCAAACCAAAAAAAAAATAATAATAAAGGTTCAGAAGAAAATTCCACAATTCTAATTCATACTTTCTCCGTCCACTCCACGCCCCCGCTCTCTCGAGTCTCACGACCCGAACCACACGCCCAAATACATTTACCAAACTCCCATCGCACCAATCCAGCCAGCCACGAAACTCATCGTAGTGGGCCCCACATCAAGCCCACGCCATCCCAGCCGTACACCTCTCAGTCAGCCCAGCTAAAGTCCAATTGTCAAATTTCTACCCAAATGAATCATTCTTTTCCTCTTTTATTTTTTCTTAAAAAAAAAGAACCCTGCAGAAATTTCCCTGAACCTCACTCTCCCCCACCTTTCCCTTTTTTTTTCTTTTTCTTAATAATTTTCAGTATTTTTTTCCCTATTATTTATATATATATATATATGCATCTAACCGAATCCTGCCCGCCCCTTAAACACAAAAATGGCGAACCTCATCTGGACCAAATCAAAGGAACGGCAGCAACGCATCCCCAAGAACATCGCCGGCGCCGGCGCCGGCAGGTGCAGGAAGCACCCGAAGCACCGCCAGTCACCGGGCGTGTGCTCCGCGTGTCTCCGCGAAAGGCTCAGCCAGCTCCCCGCCACGTCATCACTCCGCAAATCAGAGGGGTTCGATTCGGCGTCCACCGGCTCCTCGTCGTCGCTGTCTTCCTACAGCAGTTCGTCCTCGTCTTGCTCCTCGTCACGCGCCTCCCCGGCGCGTCGGCGGCGCGGCGGTAACGGGCTGTCGCTTTCTCAGGTGTTGAAGCTGGGAAGCAGCGCCGGTCAGAAGAGGAACGACGTGCGTGTTATGAGGAAGAGCAGATCTGTGGCGGTGGGCGGCGGCGAGGGGGAGGGGAAGGAGAAGAAGAAGGGGTTTTGGTCGGTGCTGAGGCGGCGGAAGGAGGAGAGGCCGCCGGCGAGGTTGGGGCATTCCCTCACTATGCGCGACGTATTCCTGATTACTACTAGCTAAGCTAGTTTGGTGGATTTTGCTTCCACTTCGTTTCTTTCATTCAAATTTTTTTTTCCTTTTTTTACATTCTATTATTTTGCTCCATCCAAATTCCAAAGTTCCAAACTGGAATTGGCAAAAACCAAGAAGGAATGAAGGTTTCCCTATAGGGAAAAAAGAAGAAAAAAAAGATGGAAGCAAAACATAATCCATCTCCAGAGTGAATCTCAATTTTTATATTATTTCTCAGAAAATAATGTATTATAATTTTGTTTCTCAATTTTGTAAATAACATTTGTTGTACTACCTTCCAAATAGATTTAATTAATTATGTATTTGGGAATAAACTTATTTGGGCTAAGAGAAGGAAAAACAAGATTTGAAGGATAAAGGAAACAAAAATTTGAAAACAGGTGGCTTATAGAAAGCCCCAACTAATAAATAAGAGAACTAATAGAAGATCAAACTATATTTATTAACTAAATTATAGATTTCAACAATTCAACAATAATTTATTCTAATGGGACTATCATTCGTCTTTAATCTAGAGGTTCTAATTTCGATTTTTTTAATTAGCACCTATCAATAAAGTTCGAATGTTGATCAATTACTTGGCATTGATATTTGATAGGTCTGTTTGTATAATAAACTTCCTATATAACTCCTAGTTCACAATAAGTCTTGAGCTCGATTACAATTTCAGCCAGCTATGAGAGGTGATAAAATCGAATGACTGTTTATATAATATGACTTAGGTTCCTATACAAATTCTTTATTGTATGTAGATCTATGAAATCATATGTAACGGTTGTAATTTAGAAATAGAGATATAATAGTTCATATTATAAAGGATAAGGAGGGAAATAAGAGATTCGGAAACAATAGATCATCAGATTTTTTGTGCAGCTGGCCAGATTTTGGAGATGGCGAGGATGTTTTCCATTAAATATGAGATGACTCAGAATTTTGTACGAAATTCTCTGGCGTGTTGTTAAAACACTTTTTAATTTTCTTATGAAACTTCAATGGATCATATCTCATTCGTTTACATCAGAGTTCAAAAAAATTGCGTAGAAAAATCAAATTTTTGTGGTCTACAACATTATATATCTTTTAGTATTTTTTGGAACAAATTTTTTTACGTCATCTTACCACTGTCATATCATGATATTGTCAAGAGCAGTTGATCCCACTCGCTCGAGTTGTTGGGAGAAGGTTAATACCACTTTCTAATATGCCCCCTCGAACGAAAGTCAACTCATATGGGGTTACCGGTGGTTGAACATAAACCTCTCGATTACAGAAGGCTCTAGTATAATACCATGTCAACAACCAGTTGATCTCAATAACTCGAGTTGTTGGGAGAAGATTAATTATGAATCTTATAACACTCTCTAATAGATAATATCATAGTGTGATAATAGCATAATATGATATTTGTATGAGGGTGATGCCAGTCTTACTAAAGTGGTAAGATCATGTTATGACACTGTCATCATGTTCAAATATAGGATTTGTAGAATAAAATTTTGTAATTAATCCGCTATCATATAATATATTAGTCAAAGATACATTATATATATTAGCATATTACTATTATGACCGCATATTCAAAACTCCTATTTGGAAATTATTATTGTATTTTCTCGTTCATTTTATGTTTCGTGTACTAAAAACGGATAAATCATTTAGTCATTAGTGCACGAATTTGACGGATTTAGTTGATTGTATAATAACATTCACTATTTTAATTTACTTCTAAATTCGAATTTCTTAAACATTTCAACATGAAATAGAAATAGATCATTGGATACTCGCAAGCCAAAGTTTACATCAATGCTTGCAATAAGAACAAAAAAGGGGGGAAAATACAATTTAGCATATGTGGAATTTTCAGACCAACATTACTATGTCACTATCGCATAAAAGTTTCAACTTCTTCTCATTTGCTGCGGGGATCTTCAAGTTCAACCCTAACCGGCCGGCGGGCCAGCTGGTCTAATTTGATTTTCCTTTCTTTCTCCTTTCCCTTGGAATTCTCCCCAGTTTTCAGACTAATCAGAAACTCCCAGCTTGCGCTTTGACGGCTCGGTCGGGCGGTTACTTTCCCCCTCGTCAAACCTACTGGTCCATAATATAGCTTCTAGGCAACTTCGTCTGTGCAGGTTTTTGAATTAAGTTCAATTCCTGCCGCCGAGCTGGCGGCAAATCAATATTGCTACACATTTACACAACTAGCCAGCCAACTCCTCACGATATCGCCCTTCGTCACGTTCAGCACGGCTCAGGTACAGTGGATAATTACAATAACAAATTACTAAAATTAGTTAAAAACAATACGATGTCATGACAAATATCAAATAATAAGTTGAGAAAAATAATGATCCTTTTGAAACTAAATACATAGCATGTCTATTGTTTGAACCTAACTGAGTGTAGGAGTGAGGTTCGTGTGAGAGTTTGGGTCAAGAAGGAACGCAAGGGTCAGGTTTAATTGAAGGAATAAGAACTAGAGAGTCGAGTGAGGATCAAGGTTCGAACTTTTAGAAAGAGAAGTAGTTGCTATGGAGAGAGAATGGTGCAAAAATGCGATCCCCTCACCCACCAGAGTAAATGCCATATTTATAGGCTACATGGTGGTGGGTGAGTGGGTGGACTTCGAGACGGTACAACGACGTGACTGCTGATGTGTCAGGGATTTAGGCCATCCCCTAACCTAGGACTTGTCAGAGGGTTGTCTATGATTTGTACTCAAAAGTCTTGACGTGACCTTCCCTCGGGAGACACAATGACGCCCTCTCCGGCTCTTGAGTCTGGTCGCCGCCTTGTCTTCCCATTCGCGCGCATAGACTCACTCTTGCCGCGCGCGAGGTCTCGGCGCTGTCGGACGTGTCGCGCCGTGTTCGTCGTGGCGTGCGGTTTGGCGTGCTTCTTTGGCGCGGGAGTGATCCGAGTCACATGCCCAACAATTGCCCCCCACAGGGGGTGTTTCTCGAACGCCTCCTGTTGTGATTTCCGCTCTGCTGACTCGGATCCACGTGCTTCGCGATGGTTTGGCCAGCTAGGTCTCGTGCGCTTTACTATGTTGAGGCTCTCCTGTTCGTTGCGGGGTAAGGCGCGCCTGTTCGTTGCGGGGTAAGGCGCGGTTGTTTTGCGTGCGCGATCTACACGGGTATCTTGCGGGCCCCTTGTGTGCGCGGTTGCTTGGCGTGCGCGGTTGCTTTGCGTGCGCGATCTTCATGGAGGATCTTGCGGTTATCTCATGTGCGCAATTTCCGGGAGGCTTTCTTCGAGCGTTTTTTTGGGGGTGGGGTTTTTCCCTTTTGCGGGTGTGTCATGCCCCCCAGGCGTTGCGCGTCACTAGTGACGTCGACGGCTAGTGCCCGTGCTCGTTATGATTGTTCGGGATTGGAGTCTGCCACGTGTCGCTGTGCGATTGGTTAGCTCTGGCGGCCTTTTGAATTTCGAAATCCTCTGACGGTTGCGATTTTCGATGACCTTTAACCCCTTCGACTTCCCATCATCACCTATAAATATACGGCTGCTCTTGAGATTTCCTTCCATCTTTCCTTCTTCGTATTTTGCTCTCTAGTTTTTCCATCTCTCTGTTTCGAGGATTCCTCTTCTTCTTCTACAACCTCAAGTCTTTCGTTTGCTACTGCTACTCAAGGAATTGCCATGGATAGCACCAACATCAATGAGACCGAGGTCGTGCAGGGCGAAGAAGGTAATCCTCTTTCTTTCTCACCTACTTCTACTCGACTTGAGTCGAACCCGGCCGATTCCGGCAACGGGGACGGCGGGGACGACGGTGGTGTTAGCAACGACAACGATGCTAGGGACGACGAGGGTGCTTCGGCGTCGCCGTCGGGCAACGTCGATTCCGGCCGGGGCTTTCAGGAGTCTTCCAACGCCGATGTGGTTCCGTCGGGTAGTGGGCCGGCGGGCTCTAGTGGGGTCCTGATAATCCGTCGTACTCATGACGGAAGATCTGGCGGGGCGACCTCTGAGGTGCGCGATGAATCGGAGACGCAATCGGAGCCCCTTTACCAAGTCCGCGTGACAGAAGCAGTGAGCCGGCTAGGGTTCCAAGGCGTGGGCGCGGTTTATACAGTTATAGATTGGGCCGAGATGTGGGGCGATCAGCCGGCCCCACATGATAATCTGCTCCGCGGTCCCGACCACGCATCAATTTACGGGCGCGAGGATGTGGAGGAGATTGTGCGCGGGTTGGGATTGCCCCCCAGTTGGCAATACGCCGTACCGTCTGTGCGCAGCATGGTTGGGAACTGCCCCCCGGGCTGGTTCGGCGTTTACACAGAGTATTGGGTGATGGGATTCAAATTTCCCATCGACCCACTGCTGTGCGCCTTGTATGAGAAGCTCAACTGTTCAATCGCGCGGCTCTCTCCCTCTGTTATTATGCACGCTAGTTGCCTCCGGACGGCGTGCAAGCGGCTCAAGATTACACCCACTTATGGGTTGTTCCGGAAATTTTACAAGATCAAGGAGCCCACCAGGACAAGTGATTGTCTTTCTATCAAGCGGCGTGACAACAGGCCTGACGGCTTTGTGTACGGCTCGCCTAAGCTTAAGAAGACTTGGTTCGAGCGCTTCTTTTATGTGAAGCCCACGCCCGGGGAGTGGGCGAGTGCGTATGTTGCGGAGCCAACCACTTGGATGAAGGGTGGCACGCATGCGTACGAGTCGGAGCTGGGCAAGTACCCTGGGCTCGATCAGGAGTATGAGGCATGCCTGCTTCAGAAGTTTGACCTACACTCGGCTGGGGTCCGCGAGGCTTGCTTGGCCGAATTGTTTGCCGATGGTTAGTTGTGTTCCTTTCGTTTTGTATTCTTTCTTATTAACCGCCCTCTTAACATTTATTGGCGCATGTGTTGATTTTTCCAGCTTGGCGAGCATGATGTCTGTGGATGAAGTCATCAAGATTCCTCGCGGTGGGAGGAAGAGGTCGAGGGAAGGTAAGCAGGCTGTTTCGGAGAGGGGCGGGAAGAGGAAGACGG